GCTACCTTGGCTTGCAGATCACCCGGGACAGAGCACAGCGCACCATCACCCTGACTCAGTCACACATTGTGCAGCATGTCCTTCAGTGCTTCGACTTCACGTACTCCTCGCCTCAGGCCACTCCTCTGTCTACTCGCCACTCGCTCTCAGCTCTGCCTTCGGATGAGTCCGTAGAGCCGAGTGGCCCATACTCAGAGCTTGTTGGCTGCCTCATGTACCTGATGACCTGCACATGACCTGACCTTGCATACCCTCTTAGCATCCTGGCATGCTATGTTGCTCCTAGGAGACACCGACCAGAGCACATGGCTGCAGCGAAGAGGGTGTTGCGCTACTTGTGCAGTACGTCGGGCATGGGGCTAGTGCTTGGAGGGCGACGTTCAGTGGTCCTCACAGGTCACGCAGACGCTTCTTGGGCTGACGACCAGGCTACGCAGCGGTCGTCACAGGGTTACACCTTCAGCCTTGGTTCCGGCTCTGTTTCGTGGCGGTCTACCCGCTCGTCTTCTGTTCTCGGCTCCAGCTGTGAGGCCGAGATCTACGCAGGGGCCATGGCTGCACAGGAGTTACGCTGGCTCACCTACCTGCTGACCACCCTGGGAGAGCCGCCTCGTTCTCCTCCAGTTCTGTACGTAGACAACAAGGCCATGCTGGCCTTGTGTCGGGAGCACAGACTGGAGCACAGAACGAAGCACATTGCTCTTCGCTACTTCCTTGCTCGTGAGCTGCAGCAGCGTGGTCAGCTGCGCCTTGCTTACGTGGCCTCTCAGGCCAACACTGCTGATATCTTTACCAAGGCACTTCAGCCTTGTGATCATCAGCGCTTTTGTACGATGCTAGGTCTTGTGCCTACTTGGCCTCACTTGCTTACTTCTTGACCTTTCTTGTACTGTGTTCTATATATACCTGCACTTGCTTGTTTACCTTTATATATATGATCCTACATGTGAAATGGCCTTGTGGCCTTGAACCTGTGCTCGGAATGTATGGTGACGTTGTGATCCACCCTGAGCTCTCTTTGCTTTGCTTGACTGGTCTTGTGACCCCTTGTTCTCCCCCACTTTGCCTATGGGGGTGTGTCAGACTTATATGATCTAGCCTGTATAGGCTGTAGCGGGTTAGATACTAAGGGGTTCACAATTCTAGGGTTTCATATTTGTATCACACTCATTCCTTAGTCATTTATTCCTTGTAATCTTCACAGCTTCCTGCCGAGTTCTACGCCGCGACCCCCCCCCCCTATGTACATCACTCTCTACTACCTCGTCACCCGGCTCCCTGCTCCCTTCGCTCGGTCAGGGACCACTTCCTCTCCCTTTGCCCCACCACGCTCACCGTTGACCTCCTAGAGGAGCGCCTCCTAGCAGCAGAGAAGAGTATAGTCGCTGTAGGAGCCTCTCGTGGTGACCCTCATGCCCCTTTCTTTGAGGGGTGCTGCCCCGTTCCCCTTTTGCCTTATGTTGCCTCTGCTGCTGCTGTCGACCTCGTTGGCACCGAGTCGGTCGGCGCTGCGTCTGCTCCTAGAGGGAGGCGCCGCAGCGGCTGAAGCAAGGGGGGCAAGGGCACTGGAGGAGACGGCGGGGGCGGCGGTGGTGGCGGTGGAGGCGGCGGAGGGGGTGGGGGTGGAGGTGGGGGTGGTGGCGGGAGTGGGGGCTTCGGTAACGGTGGGCAGCGCCAGCAGCAGCAGCGCCCTCTGTTACGATGCGATCTTAACTGGTAACCGGATTTAAGGAGGGCCTAGGCTTAGTAGCCTAGGCCAAGCAAGTGTCGAGGTCAAGGCCAAGGGAGGATCGAGAGAGTTGACCAAACAAGTAAGCTTCATTAAAGCAAAGCATACAAGATATAGTCGAGAAACACAAACAAGAGGTGCACCACCAACAGCAAAGAACAATAACTACAGTAACTACAGCAAGCAGGATATATCTTAAATATAACTTTGACACACCCCCTTAGCCTGCTTGCAGTAGGAACTAGAGTAGTCAACACCCCCTGAAGGGGTATAGCTGGCGCAGTGGGAGACGGCAGAGGGGTACGTGAGGGGAGGCGGCGAGAGGGAGAGAGGAGAGGAGAGGAGATGAGAACACAGGAGGAGGTGAGTGAGGGATGAGGAGAGGAGGTGGGGGGGTGGCCGCGGCGTCCCCTCTTACTAACCCCCTTTTACGAAAGGGGGGTTGAGTGGGGGATGAGGAGAGGAGGTGGGGGGGTGGCCGCAGCGTCCCCTCTTACTAACCCCCACATCCCCACCCCCAATCAACCACCCTCCTTCAACCTCACCCCCCATTTCAGCCACCCCCTGGAACCGCACCCCCTCCCTCCCTTCCTTCCTCCACACCCCTGCCCAACCTACAGTTGTCTCTGCCCTGTCCTTCACACTGCATCCAGCCCTCCCACCCCCCCGCTCCCGCCACCTACCCCCCACAGTAGCAGCCGCGGGAGGGGAGAGGCAGGGCAGAGGGTGGTGCTCTACTGGCGGGGTTCTCTGCTGGCGGGGTTCTCTGCTGGCGGGGTTCTCTGCTGGCGGGGTCTCGTGCTGGCGGCTGGCCCTGGAGCTGGTGCTGGTGCTGGCGGCTGGCCCTGGAGCTGGTGTTGGTGCTGGCGGCTGGCCCTGGTGCTGGTGCTGGTGCTGGCGGCTGGCCCTGGAGCTGGTGCTGGTGCTGGCGGCTGGCCCTGGTGCTGGTGCTGGTGCTGGCGGCTGGCCCTGGAGCTGGTGCTGGTGCTGGCGGCTGGCCCTGGAGCTGGTGCTGGTGCTGGCGGCTGGCCCTGGAGCTGGTGCTGGTGCTGGCGGCTGGCCCTGGTGCTGGTGCTGGTGCTGGCGGCTGGCCCTGGTGCTGGTGCTGGTGCTGGCGGCTGGCCCTGGAGCTGGTGCTGGTGCTGGCGGCTGGCCCTGGAGCTGGTGCTGGTGCTGGCGGCTGGCCCTGGTGCTGGTGCTGGTGCTGGCGGCTGGCCCTGGAGCTGGTGCTGGTGCTGGCGGCTGGCCCTGGAGCTGGTGCTGGTGCTGGCGGCTGGCCCTGGAGCTGGTGCTGGTGCTGGCGGCTGGCCTTGGAGCTGGTGCTGGTGCTGGCGGCTGGCCCTGGAGCTGGTGGTGCTGGCGGCTGGCCCTGGAGCTGGTGCTGGTGCTGGCGGCTGGCCCTGGAGCTGGTGCTGGTGCTGGCGGCTGGCCATGGAGCTGGTGCTGGTGCTGGCGGCTGGCCCTGGTGCCTGGTGCCTGGTGCTGATGGGGCGCGACGGGTGGGACGAGCTGGAGAAGGGCTACAGGCTGGGCGGGATCTGATGTCAAAGTTGTGTTTAATATATCCTGCTTGCTGTAGTTACTATAGTGTAGTTATTTGATTGTTTGCTTGGTGGTGCTTTTGTTTGCTATATGTACCTTTGGTCCTATAGTGAACCCAACCATTCTCGACATTTCTCCTTGGCACAAACTACTCTTTACCCGCTTGGCCTAGGCTACTAAGCCTAGGCCCTTAGTTAAACCCGTTCCTAGCTAAGATCGTATCGTAACATGGTATCAGAGCTAGGTCGTTCCCGACCTAATTTTTTAAGGGCCCACCGTTAGTTATCGTGATGGCGTGTCCCGTCCTTCCCCGTCGCTCGCCCGTAGCAAAATCCGTCACGGTAGTCGTGACAGACGCGACGGTCGTGGCGGGAGTAACGACGTTCGTCGACCCGCTGTTTCGCGCCGCTGCTCTTGCCCCCCGTCGGCCCCTCGAACCGCCGCTGCCTTCCCCGTCACCCTTCCCCGTCACGCTGCCTCGACGCGGCTCACTGTCGCGGAAACGTCGACGGTCGCAGTGGGGGGGGGAGAGGAGAGGGGGAAAAGGGTGGCGACCGTCACTTGAGCACCACAGCCAGCCCGCATTCCGTCCCGTCCCGTTCCGTCCCCGCCTGCCCTCCCGTCGACTTCGCAGCTGCTGTGAAGGGAGTGGCGGGAATGGCGGGCGTGGCGGGAGTGGCGGGAATGGCGGGCGTGGCGGGAGTGGCGGGAGAAGCTGCTGCTCCACCACTGCATGCCACAGATCGTCCACGACCCGCAAGCCCGCCAGTAAACGAACCAGCAGACCCGCGCCAGCACCAGGAACCAACACCAGGCACGAGCACCAGCGCCAGGAACCAGTACCAGCACCACCACCAGGAACTAGCACCAGCACCAGCTGCCAGCACCAGGAACCAGCACCAGCGCCAGCCGCCAGCACCAGGAACCAGCACCAGCGCCAGCCGCCAGCACCAGGAACCAGCACCAGCACCAGCGCCAGCACCAGGAACCAGCACCAGCGCCAGCCGCCAGTACCAGGAACCAGCACCAGCGCCAGCCGCCAGCACCAGAAACCAGCTCCAGCGCCAGCCGCCAGCACCAGGAACCAGCACCAGCGCCAGCCGCCAGCACCAGGAACCAGCACCAGCTCCAGGGCCAGCCGCCAGCACCAGCACCAGCTCCAGGGCCAGCCACCAGCACCAGCACCAGCTCCAGGGCCAGCCGCCAGCACCAGCACCAGCTCCAGGGCCAGCCGCCAGCACCAGCACCAGCTCCAGAGCCAGCCGCCAGCACCAGCACCAGCTCCAGGGCCAGCCGCCAGCACCAGCACCAGCTCCAGGGCCAGCCGCCAGCACCAGCACCAGCTCCAGGGTCAGCCGCCAGCACCAGCACCAGCTCCAGGGCCAGCCGCCAGCACCAGCACCAACTCCAGGGCCAGCCGCCAGCACCAGCACCAGCTCCAGGGCCAGCCGCCAGCACCAGCACCAGCTCCAGGGCCAGCCGCCAGCACCAGCTCCAGGGCCAGCCGCCAGCACCAGCACCAGCTCCAGGGCCAGCCGCCAGCACCAGCACCAGCTCCAGGGCCAGCCGCCAGCACCAGCACCAGCTCCAGGGCCACCCCGCCAGCAGAGAACCCCGCCAGCAGAGAACCCCGCCAGCAGAGCACCCCGCCAGCAGAGAACCCCGCCAGCAGAGAAGCCCGCCAGCAGAGATCCCCGCCAGCAGAGAACCCCGCCAGCAGAGAACCCCGCTAGCAGAGAACCCCGCCAGCAGAGAACCCCGCCAGCAGAGAACCCCGCCAGCAGAGAACCCCGCCAGCAGAGAACCCCGCCAGCAGAGCACCCCGCCAGCAGAGCACCACCCTCTGCCCTGCCTCTCCCCTCCCGCGGCAGCTACTGTGGGGGGTAGGTGGCAGGGACGGGGGGGTGGGAGGGCTGGCTGCCATGTGAAGGACAGGGCAGAGACAACTGTGAGTGGGGCAGGGGTGTGGAGGAAGGAAGGGAGGGAGGGGGTGCGGTTCCAGGGGGCGGCTGAAATGGGGGGTGAGGTTGAAGGAGGGTGGTTGATTGGGGGTGGGGATGTGGGGGTTAGTAAGAGGGGACGCTGCGGCCACCCCCCCACCTCCTCTCCTCATCCCCCACTCAACCCCCCTTTCGTAAAAGGGGGTTAGTAAGAGGGGACGCCGCGGCCACCCCCCCACCTCCTCTCCTCATCCCTCACTCACCTCCTCCTGTGTTGTCATCTCCTCTCCTCTCCTCTCTCCCTCTCGCCGCCTCCCCTCACGTACCCCTCTGCCGTCTCCCACCGTGCCTGCTCTACCCCTTTCAGGGGGTGTTGACTGCACTAGTTATTACTGCAAGCAGGCTAAGGGGGTGTGTCAAAGTTATGTTTAATATATCTTGCTTGCTGTAGTTACTATAGTGTAGTTATTTGATTGTTTGCTTGGTGGTGCTTTTGTTTGCTATATGTACCTTTGGTCCTATAGTGAACCCAACCATTCTCGACATTTCTCCTTGGCACAAACTACTCTTTACCCGCTTGGCCTAGGCTACTAAGCCTAGGCCCTTAGTTAAACCCGTTCCTAGCTAAGATCGTATCGTAACATCTGACGGTAGGAGGCGCGCAAGCGCTGGTGAGATCACCGGTGCTCTGGCGGCGATCGCTGGTTTTCCGCCGCCACTCCCTTCCCCCTTTTCCTCTCTCCCCCACAGCATTCCGCCGCCACTCCCTTCCCCCTTTCCCTCCCCCCCCCACAGCGTTCCGCTGCCACTCCCTTCCCCTTTTCCCTCTCCCCCCCACAGCGACCGCCGCTGCACACGCGAACAGCCGCGACTGGGGGGGTGACGGGCATGGGGCGCGGGTAATGCGACGGGCAGAGTGGCAGCGGGCTACGGTGCTCCGGGGCGACGGGAAGCAGGGCGGGGTTCGAGTGGCGTACGGGCGACAGGTGGGGTGCAGGTGGCGTACAGGCGACGGGCAGGGTGCGGGTTGCGGCGAGCGGAACGGGGGGACGTAACGGGTGGCGCGACGCGACGGCGGGGCCCACGCGGGTCCAGATCAACGAGAACGAGGGCCCACGGGGGTCCTTAACAAGCGCAAGAACGGGGCCCGCAGGGGGCCCTTAACCAGCACAAGATCGGGGCCCGCGCGGGCCCTTAACTAGCGCGAGAACGGGGCCCGCGGGGGTCCTTAGGCTAGCGCGAGAATGGGGCCCGCGGGGAGCCGTGTTACGATACGAATGGGGCGACGGAGCACGGGGCGACGGGCTAACAGAGCGCGGGGCGGTGGGCCCATGTGAGAATCGACTGGCTCTGATACCATGTTACGATGCGATCTTAACTGGTAACCGGATTCAAGGAGGGCCTAGGCTTAGTAGCCTAGGCCAAGCAAGTGTCGAGGTCAAGGCCAAGGGAGGATCGAGAGAGTTGACCAAACAAGTAAGCTTCACTAAAGCAAAGCATACAAGATATAGTCGAGAAACACAAACAAGAGGTGCACCACCAACAGCAAAGAACAATAACTACAGTAACTACAGCAAGCAGGATATATCTTAAATATAACTTTGACACCCTCGTGAGACCCTGTCACCCGAGCAGCTTCGTGAGTGGTACGCTGGGCGTGGGAGGTCTGGGGGTGCTGGTCCCTGCGCTTACGTTCTCCGCACCGGCGACCGTAGTGGGGAGACGTGTGAAGGACCGCACGCCACACAGCGTTGCTTTGGCCGCCTGACTGACGATTGGCGTACGCAGTTTCCCGACTCCTCTAAGATCCCTCGCTGGGGTGATCTGCTTAAGTCGGGGGTTGCTATCTTTGATCTTGATTATGATGCTATCCTTGCTGCTATGTATGCTGTGTCTATTAGTGCTGAGGGTGACTGTTACCTGTGTGTTCCGCCCGACCCGGGCATTGAGGCTGCTGCTCTCGGTGCTAGTGAGTATGCTGCTCCAGGTGCTGGTCAGTCTGCTGCCCCAGGTATTGGTGAGTCTGCTCTCTCAGGTACTGCGTCGGCTCAGGCCTTACACACTTTCACCCTTGACTCGGGTGCTTCCCGCTCCTTCTTTCGCGACTGCACCACACTCTCGCCGCTCAGTCGGCCAGTGGCAGTCTCTTTGGCTGACCCCTCTGGGGGTCCGGTCCTTGCACACTCCTCCACGGTCCTCCCGTGTCCGGCGGACCCGTCTGGCTCTCTGTCTGGCCTCCATCTCCCCTCGTTCTCCACGAACTTGGTGAGTGGAGCTGACCTTCAGGACGCCTGGGTTGACCAGTTCACTCCTGGAGGTCAGCGGGTGACCCACTGTTCGTGTTCTCGGACGGGCCGACACCTGGCCACATTTACTCGTCAGCCTGGGTCGAGCCTGTACACCCTGACTACCGTGTCTCCTCCGGTTGCTGAGTCTGGTCAGGTAGCTACATCGGGTCAGGTGTTTGCTGCAGTGTCCCGGTCTGGTCCTGAGTCTGCCCCCCTTCTCGTGTCGCCTCCTGTCTCACCAGACTCTCCTCTGGCACCACCGCCTTGGTCACCCCTCCCTGCCTCGTCTCCGAGGCATGGCCTCCCGTGTCCTTGTCACTGGTCTTCCCCGGTCTCTCCCTCCCCTCCCCCCGGGGCCTGCCCCTACCTGCGTTCCTTGCATCGAGGGGCGGCAGCGCGCCGCCCCTCACTCCTCCGAGTTTCCTCCCACGGAGGCTCCCTTGCAGACTCTTCACATGGACGTGTGGGGCCCAGCCCGCGTCCGTGGACAGGGTCACGAGCGCTACTTTCTGCTGGTCGTTGACGACTACTCGCGTTACACCACAGTCTTCCCCTTGCGCCGCAAGGGTGAGGTCACTGAGGTGCTGATCGACTGGATCCGCGCTGCCCGTCGTCAGCTCAGCGAGAGTTTCGGCTCGGACCTTCCTGTTCTGTGTCTGCACTCCGACAGAGGTGGAGAGTTTTCCTCCGACCTTCTGCAGGCCTTCTGTCGTGCGGAGGGCATTCGCCAGACGTTCACGCTTCCGGCCTCTCCACAGCAAAATGGGATTGCTGAGCGCCGCATTGGCATGGTCATGGACGTTGCTCGTACGTCCATGATCCATGCGGCTACTCCCCATTTTCTGTGGCCGTTCGCGGTTCAGTACGCGGCGCATCAGATCAACCTTCAGCCCCGGGTCTCCATGCCGGAGACCACACCTACTCTGCGGTGGACGGGGAAGGTTGGTGATGCGTCTGCGTTCCGTGTCTGGGGATCTCGAGCTTTCGTCTGCGACTTGTCTGCGGACAAGCTGTCCTCCCGTGCTGTTCCCTGCGTCTTTCTTAGCTTCCCCCCTGACGAGCCTGGTTGGTAGTTTTACCACCCCACCTCGCGCCATGTTCTGTCCTCTCAGGACATCACGTTTGACGAGTCGGTTCCTTAATACCGTCTCTTCCCCTACCGCACTGCCCCCCTCCCCCCCCCGCCGCTCTTCCTCGCGCCAGGTCCTCCCCCGTTAGACCCCCTTCCCCCTCAAGGTCCTGCCCCCTCAGGTGTGTCCCAGGTAGATGCAGTCGAGCCTGTCGAGGTAGCGGTTGACTCTGGTGCTGCTAGGGGTGCTGAGCCTGCGGGTGCCGGGTCTGGGGGTGCTGAGCCTGAGCGTGCGGAGCCTGGGGGTGCTGAGTTTGGGGGTGCTGAGCCTGGGGGTGCTGAGTCTAGGGGTGCTGAGCCTGGGGTTGCTGAGTCTCGAGGTGCGGAGCCTGAGGGTGCTGAGCCTGCGCGTGTGGAGTCAGGAGGTGCTGCGCCTGGAGGTCCTTCGGGTGCTTCGTCTCGGCGGGAGCCACTCTCTCCGCAGCAGCTGCGCGAGTGGTTTGCTCGGCGCTGAAGCCGTGCTGCTGGAGCTGGTGGTGCTACGGGCGCTGGGGGTCCTGCTGCTGCTGGAGGTCCTGCTGCTGCTGGAGCTGCTGGGGGTTCTGGAGTTACGGGTCCCGGAGGTGCTCGTATTGGAGGTACTGGAGCTGCTGGGCCTGGTGGTGCTGCTGGAGCTGGAGCTGCTGGAGGTACTGGAGCTGGAGCTGCTGGGGCTTCTGGTGGTCCTGCTAGAGCTGGAGGTGCTGCTGGAGGTGCTGGAGCTGCTGGTGCTGCTGGAGCTGCTGGAGCTGGTGCACATTGTCAGAATCCCAACCACTAGACCATTGGGATAAAGGGGCTTGTTTCAGTAGCGGGTCAGTGCGCCCATAACCCCCCTGGCTAACATGCCTGAAATCCCCCAAGGATCAATCGGGGATCTCACAGTGCAGCTCTACTGACACCCCCCCACACTGGGAGGCCCAGGACTGAGCACAGCGGCAACGGCCTGCATGTGCATACACCGGGATTCGAACCCGAGACCACTCTGATACCATGTCAAAATCCCAACCACTAGACCATTGGGATAAAAGGGCTTGTTTCAGTAGCGGGTCAGTGCGCCCACAACCTCCCAGGCTAACATGCTGTAACCCCCCAAGGATCAATCGGGGATCTCACAGTGCAGCTCTACTGACACACCTGTGGGTGCTGGAGTTGGCGCAACTGGAGCTGCTGGAGGTGCTGCTGGAGCTGGTGGTGCTGCTGGAGTTGGAGCTTCCGCTTGGGGAGCTGGTGCTGTCCCTGCTGGTTCTGGAGCGGCTGCGCGGCTGCGGCCATACTTCGTTCCGCTCCTTCAGCAGGTTCTTGGTCTCCCGCCTTCTACTGGTCCTGCTCCTTCCTTAGGGTGTCTATAGCCTGTCCAGTCGCAGTCCCAGTTACAACCCGCCCCCCCACTGCCTGCTCCTTCTCCTTACACTGGTCCGATCGGAGGTCTTGCGGAGCGTCGTGAGCCTGAGTCTCGTCCTGTGTCGCCTGAGTCTCGTCCTGCGTCGCCTGTTCGTGGCTCGCGTCAGCGTCCTCCTCCTGTCCCTGGCACGCACCAGATGGTTTTGCGTCCTTCCACTGCTCCGCAGCGTGTCCCTCTGCCGTCTCCTCCTACGTCCTCTCTTCCTGCCCTTTCTGACCTGGAGTCTGACTCCCTTCGTGCTGCTAGTCCTACTGTCACGCGTCTCCTAGCCACTGTTGTCACTGACCCTTCCTTTGAGTCCTCTGCTGCGTCTTCCTTAGTTGCTGAGCTTGTCGACTTTGCTGCTCACTGTCGTCTAGACTACGCCGCGAGTCTTGTTGCTGAGTCTGAGTCTGTCTGTCCTCCGTCCGTTGGGGGTGAGTGTGCTCTTGGCACGGACGTCCTTGAGGACAGGCAGGAGGACTTTGAGTGCTTTGCAGCCGCTGTACCTCATCTCGTATCCATGCTGATTGCACCTGAGGGAGACCTGGATGCACCAGACATCCCGACCCCGCGCTCTTACGCAGAGGCGATAGAGGGTCCCTACTCCTCTCAGTGGCAGTCAGCCATGGACGCAGAGATGGCATCCTGGAAGTCCACATGCACATACGTCGACGAGGTTCCCCCTCCTGGGGCGAACATCGTCAGTAGCATGTGGATTTTCAGGGTGAAGCGGGCACCGGGTTCTCCGCCTATCTTCAAGGCGCGTTACGTTGCTCGAGGCTTCAGTCAGCGACAGGGAGTTGACTTCTTCCAGACCTTCTCCCCGACCCCGAAGATGACCACTCTTCGGGTTCTGCTGCACGTCGCTGCTCAGCGTGACTACGAGCTTCACTCTCTTGACTTCAGCACTGCTTTCCTACAGGGCAGCCTGCAGGAGGAGATCTGGCTGCGCCGCCCACCTGGCTTCACTGGGTCGTTTCCTCCTGGTACCCAGTGGAGCCTCCGGCGGCTAGTCTACGGTCTCCGCCAGACGCCCCGTGAGTGGCACGACACATTGAGGACTACGCTTGCGGCTCTTGGGTTTGCTCCTTCTACTACTGACCCGTC